TTCGTACAGTGCACGCGTCGTTCAGCGCGACGTTCACGCGCTTGCAGCGATCGGCCCCGCTCGCACTTATACTAAACTACAGTATAGACAGTTCAAAGTTCGCAAGCTAGGCCGCTCGCAAGTGTCAGGTCTTGCGCGGCAGGAAACGGCTTCGTGATCAAAGGGCACTCTCACCTGACGCTGCCGCGTCAAGTCGGTGCACAGTTTTAGTCAAAATAAAACGCGTTTAACTCACAAACAAAAATAAATTATAATATTACCTCTCACCATCGAGAACTCGAAGTCGGCTTCCACTTACCCCTCTTTGTTCTGGCCTCCCGGATCTTGTACCTTCCACGGTTTTCTGTTCCTTGAGGGAACCGGTACATCCTGAACCCTTTTTTCGCGCTGTTCGAGCACCCAACGGCACTACAGCACCCCATTACGTTTTCATCTAACGTCTCGCGGAGCGCAGAACGATCACTTTCACCGTCGTCTCTCGCTCCACCCTAGTCAGACGGCTGCCGGCTCGAGGCGACAAGGCATATCATGGCGGACGACGAGACTCGGAATGCGATGCGCACAGTTGCCAGACTGTTCGATCAGTGCTGCCAGACTGGCGGCTGGATCAATACACCGCCGAACTCTCCCAGTATAAAAGGCTCTAAGTCAGGCAACACGCACTGGTCACGGAACTGGGCGGAGCCAATAGGAACTATCGGAACGACGCGTTGCAAGCTTGGTCGGAAACATGTGTTTTGGATAATCGTTTGCCGCGAGTGGGAGCAGCGATTGGACGTCGGATCAGACGCCGGAACTACAAGAGACGTAGAAACCGCAAAAAAGGTCGACGCTTAAAGGGCAACTTCGCTCAATTTCAAATATCTTAGGCTTACATGGGATTTTATTTCCCAAAGCACTACTAAACAGCCCTACGTCTTTAGATTCGCGAAATGCAGAATAATATTTCTGTAATCTTAGCTTAAACGTCAGCAGATACCGAAACTGAAACTTCGGTTGCGACAGGCAACATTGGTCTCGTTTCGTCAGAGTCATGTCCTCGTCACGTCGATCCACGAATGGTCACGTGATCCTCCATGCGACGGCGGGCGAACGTAGAGCTAAGCGCAAGTGACGTCTGCTCCGCAGTTTTGGCCAATATAGTTTGCTACAACATTCAAAGACGTCTGCAGCACTGCGGTCTCAGCTAGCGCTCCGGGTTGGAATGTCGACGGAGATGCCCACAATTTGGAGCAAGCTTATTGCAGCGAAGTCGCCGTGTATCCGAGATCTCGGTAACACGTCACAAGATCCCCAGGCGGTCCAAATTAACCACCAGGCCTCCGCTTCCTTCGTAGGTCTGGCACATAAAGCTCCAACTTCACAATCATTTTACCGAAAATGGCTGAGTCTTCGCGCCTGTTTTCTAGAGACGCGAGAAATATATCCTCGTACACTTGGAAACGCCGGCAGGTAGTGCGACCGACGTGGTGGTCGTTTGATCGTGCATGTGTCTGCTGCTTTAGTAGCCTGCATTGTGTATCTTTATGAAGCTGTACGGTAGACGACACGTTTATTGTGAATAGCAAAATAGTCAGCGAAAATGATGAATGCCGTGATAAGTGTGCTCCAGTGCATATTGATATAGTTTCACAGCAGAATTGATCTTTTCACGCACGTTTCGCAATTTAGCTGGTAACAGCAAATTAGTTAGTGACATGAGCACAAGCCATCGGAGCAGATCATTGTTCTGCGATTTGGCGAGAACGGCTTCCCGGAGTTCTACCATCACGGGATGTCCATCCATACATTCAAAGGCGCACTGTCGTGTGGAAACGTGTGAAGGACAACTCCCGAGCTGGTCTACTTGTAGTTCAGGCAGGTATGCAGCTCACAACATCGCGCCTATGAATATTTCACCAGGCATGGCAGCTAAGCATCGGAGATACGGCCCGTGCCCGTACCGTAAACAAAACGTTGTTCAGAAACCCCAAGAGCGACGGGACGAAACATACTGCCCCCAGTTCCCAGCTCTCGGCTCCGAGAGGCGCGCAGGGCAGCGCAAACTAGCGCATCCGGGTTACGGAGATCAGGTGGACAACGTGGAGTCACTACCGGGGGGAGAATCTCAGGACGCCATCGTTGAATTTCGCTGTGAGAATTAAAACCAAACAAAACGTGAAAACAACGTAGACATGCCGCTGACGTAGTGGCTCAATGGTGGCTGCTAGAACATTGTGGTACTGACTGCGCTGTTGATTGAGGCTCACGTCGAGCGCTAGAGTCAGCAGAATTTAGCGACTTGGCTCGTTTTAAAGTTTGCTGGCCAGTTTATTAAATATATAGACGGAATTATATCGTAATATTTGACATCAGGTCTTCCTAGATAATACTGAAGAAGGCTGCATAGTTTTCTCGATGTGAAAAATGAAGGGGAGTTGCTTTTTAAGAGGATTGCAGGGCCCATTTAATACGGCATATTTTGGCATGACACTCGGAAACCAACAAACTGGGAACATTTCCCTGATATGTACTAGCCATACTTGGGTAGTAATGCAATTACTGTAATTTAATTACTTTTCTTGGTAATTTGTAATTATAAATATTTCTTTGCGCTAAAAGATATTGTAATTGTAATTTAAATATTTTCTAACGTCAATATTTGCAAAATTTCATGTACAATTACAATAACTTTTGCAACACTTTGCGGCGCCAACGGAACCTCTTTGAAAGCCTCAGCGCTTACACAAGTGGCATAGATCTCGGTGAAACACTCAGACACAGACACAAACACACCCACGCCAAACATAAATAGTGTCGCATTGTTTGTTGTTTTGTTGCTTACATTGTGGGCTAGGAAACAATCCTTTTTGGAACCTACTTCAACGGCGTAGTATAGCGCCGTCTGCGATGCGAGAAGAAAACAATAGCGTAAACATGCCAAAATATTGAAAGAAAATATTGAGTTTCAGCTTTCAGCCGAGGTTGGGAATTTTAATGGTCTTTGAAGTTATTTTTCTTTTTTCCCAGTCTTTTTACGTCCCTCTTGCAGTACTGTCGCATATGCGTATCTTTGTATTATTTTCAATTTATTTTCCTGCTGGTTTCACTTCGTATATTATTTGCATACGCACTTTGGAGACTGACCTCGCACCTGTGAATATTGCCACCAACGATTCGGGAGCCTCAATTTGGTTCTTACATATTTCTGAGCCTTTATAATTTACAATAACATGATTTTTGTATGTGAATTTGGTCGTATTAGCGCATGTAGATTTTATTTTTATATTAACACTTGTAAAATATTCCTATATGACTAATTGTCACATTTTTATTTGCCTGACTAACAAAAGTCTGTCAATCCAATTTTCCTTTAGCGATCTGGAGTCTTCCAGCATATGAACTAATTTATAATTATTTATTAAAAATATAAGAGCGTACGGTCAAGTTCTTTCGTGAATTTAACCAAATTAAAAAAAAGAAAGTACAATACGTGAACATTGGATTAAGAAATGAACCAATGCCTTGCGTGCTATACAATTCGTTTAAAGTTATATCGGGCAAGTCGGGTCGCTTTCAGCAATAAGTAATTGTAAAGTAATTGCATTAATTTTTAAAAGTAATTTGTATTGCAATTGATTACTTTTCTCGTAGCAGTAACAGTAATTGTAGTTAAACTAGTTTTGAAGCAAAGTAATTGTAATTGTAATTAAATTATAATTTGGAAGTAATTTACCCATGTATGGTTCGAGCGAAGGACTTTGAATTTTCAGGTAGGAGTGTAAAAACCAGAGCCAGTCCCAGTTTGACCACAAGAGCACAGTGATTTTTGTCTGCGGATTACCTGAAATATGACCAACATTTCACCTTTGTTCACTCTACGCTCTATACAATTCTCCTAAGTCTACTTTTCCTCACAGCACTCGGAGAGCCAATCACCGCAACTTACAGAGCCAGCTCAGCAAATGGCGATGCCGAAACATATGTTTAAACAAGAAAAAGAACGCAGTCTGAATTGTGACAATAAGCAATGCGAAACGTCACGCTTGCATTGCTTAAGCGCAGACCGCATAGCGCGTTTCTCTACACGCGAAAACGCGACGTAAATGTTATATTGAAGCAAAAACTACAAAATCAGAATTAAATGAAGAAATAAGTAAATAAAACGGGTTTTTGCGTCAAAAGAAACACCTTTCAATTTTTACATGGAAAATAAACAATGCTTTTGAACACTTTGAAAATGTGCTGAATACGAAACAGCGTACCGTGCAGGATCACGTGATAGTTCGACCGACCCTCATTGGGCGAGAGCCGCTTCGACGCCTCGGCGCGCGGGTCTTTTTCTGATTCGGCTAGAAACCAACGCTCCCGCAAAAACGCGCGCCCGCGCGTTTTTGAGGGAGCGTTGCGTTTTTGCGGAAGCGTTTTTGCGGGACCAACGCTCCCGCAAAAACGCACCCTGCGGTCTGCGCTTTAATGTAACAACTCGGATTGCGTTTTTTCGTTTAAACATGTTTCGGCATCATCACTTCCTGAGCTGCCTCCGTATGTCGCGGTGATTGGCCCCCCGAGTGTTGTGCGGGAAAGTAGACCTACGGGCTTTTTTAGAGTGTACGGAAGAAAGTTTAGTGCCTGCACCTCTTTTAACACTGGTTCGTTTTATGTAGTTGGACGCCGCACTCGAGGTTCCCCGCATGGCTTTTGTAGCAACCCAGCCTGAAGCCCACTGAACAAGGTCATAGTGACGTGCCCTGGACATTACATTGACCAAGCAGCTAGACACGGAGTCGCAGAGGCACTTGTTGTACATTTTATGTTCAGTAGGTTTCTTTCTTTATTTTCTAAAGGAGATGAGCAATCGCCTAGCCACGACGAAGGTAGTCTCGTAAAGCATTATTTGTGCCACGTGCATTTTAGGAACGTCACTTTTTAGGTGGGCGCTGTTCTGCCGCCAAGTATTCAACGCGCAATGTCGATTTCAGGTGGCAACCATTCAGACGAATACCGCTCTGGGTCTAGAATTACCTGTTCACGGTATATGTCGATTTATGTATTGACACTTTCCTGTTTTCATAGCAACAAACCAGGAAAAACATAAGGCCCACGAAAAGTTGAGTCCCCGCGAGCAATCGGTAGAAGTTGTCGTAGCTTCCCATGAAATCTCGAAAACACCCTGAAAAGAAAGGGTGAGTAAACAACGTAAATTAAAAATACATCCACTTATTACAGCTTCTATTTTTTTATTAATTAACGTTGTTCATTAGCTTTTTTACAATTTGTTTTTACCATAATCACTACTGCGATATATTTTGGTTGGGAAGAGAAAAAAAACGTCATTTAGATATTCGAACAGAACATCTTTGTACATAAATCAAAGCCAGCGCTCTGTCGCACTACTTCCCGAGTTAAATTTAATATAAATATAGATTTTAATAAAGAGTTTGTTTTTATTATTTAATAATATTAGATCCCTTTGAACGTTTGCGAGTGAACGACATTTTTCAAGGTACTATAGGGTGCCCCCATTCCGGACATACTCTAAAGCAGGGGTGGCCAGGCTGACCCAGCCTAAGAGCCACAAACAAAACCACGAAGCAGCCAAGAGCCGCGGGGGGGGGGGGGGGGGGGGGGGGGCAGGGTTAGGCACATTTTTGTTTAGAGCAATAAACAAAACTCGATCACTTTCAATTTATCCGAGTCAAAAGCAGTCCAACTGTACGTACGGTAGCAGTAGCACAGGACTACCAAACCGCAACCTGTTTTTTTATTTAATAGGCGTTCTATTTGTCTTTTTAGGGAAGTGCTCGTGTGACTGGGAGGGAGGTGGGGGAGGGGGGTGATAGGGGAGGGAGCCGCGAGCCGCCGTTTAACACACGAAGAGCCGCATGCGGCTCGCGAGCCGCAGCTTGGCCACCCCTGCTCTAAAGCGTTTCAAGGATGTCGCGATGATTACAGCAATCTTGCACTAAAGATCTTGCAAAGATAATAATAAAATTATTACTCCTACTACTACTAATAATAATAATATTATTATTAAGAAGTTAAACAGTGAGGAAGACGACAAAGAAGTAAAGAATGATAATGATGATGATGCTGGTGGCAGTGGTGATGATGGTGATTGTGATGGTGATGATGGTGGTGGTGGTGGTGCTGGTGGTGGTGGGGGTGGCGAACTTTATTTTCATAAAGTTTGATCAGGACCGTATTCCGAAAAACCCAAGATAACTTTTCGCTATCTGGGTTATGGAACTGCAAATCTATCTAAACTCTTTGAACTTCAAGTTTTTAGGAATTATTCCTTCAATTACAGTTAAATTTTCAGTTCCGTAATCCAGATAGGGAAGAGTTATACCAGTTATTTCGGTAGAGGAGTGCGCGAGAAAAAGCTTAATTGTGCCGCTTTGCTAGTCCCCAGGCCCCTACATTGGTCAGCTGCATGTAAGCGCGCAAGAAGTCGTCAGCGCACGATGTTTACAATAGACCCTTTCCGGAATTCAGTGCCATCTTGTGACTCAAATGGCAGTTTATCTTTTACTATACTAATGGCGGCAATGAACTTGTGGTCTGCAGTATTTTATGGGGCACCGTCACTTTCCTAAGTCAACGGTAAACGAGAATGTGCACTTCAATACAATTATTTTCCACTCTCTTTTAGTGTCGATGACGAAACAAATGCAGCCAGTTGGAACGAAGCGCCAACCCACATAGCTAGACGCCTTGATAGACTTCTATACATCAAGGGGCTTCGAAGCCGAGTGAGTGCTACTAACAGATTGACAGGGACGGAGTTAAAAATGAACGCTTACGCAGCTCTTGCGTCTGATTCCTGCTTCACGCCGCGCTAACATCTAGAATGTATAGGCCTCGAATCATCTACTTAGGAGCATCTTCAACTTCTTCCTTCATCGGTAAACAGAGGGCCGCCATTAGTATAACACATATGCCGTTTTCAGATGATGATGATAGTGATCAAAGTGGCCAGACTGAATTCTGAAAAGGGTCTATAATGAAAAGCGACTGTAACAAACGAGCGAAAATTGCTTCTTTATAATTTTAAGAAAACTTAAACCTATGCTTCAGGAAAAGTGGAAACTCGGACGCGTTTACATTATTGTTTCGCATTGTGGAAACGTAAGAAAGTGAAATTACAGCTTCAATAACGGAGGAACCTTACATTGCGTGTTTAAACAGCGGGAATTTGTCAGAAAAAAAAGATATTCATAAAAGATTGAAACAGATTGGAAAGAAGAAAAAAATCTTTTTAGGTTCATATAGCTGGACTCCAATAAGTGATTCATCGTATAACTCTCGTTACATTCGAAATAGCATTTCAACGTGTACGACAGCTCACGAAAAGGTCAATGTATATCTAAGCACGATAAATAAGGCGTCTTTCAGGGAATCGAACCAAGGCGCATTCTCTAAGACATCTATATAAATTCAACTTGTATTCGCCGGCAAAATTATATTGGACAAAATATATTTAATCGGGAATCAAATTCTAGATTAAAGGGTGATGTTTCCCGAAGAACGATCAATCTGACTTACCTAATATCGTGGAACTGGACAAGTAGAGAGGCAGGCTCGCCACGCCCTCGCCAACCCAGCACAGAGATATCGCGTCGACACCGAGGTAGTCGGCCATGAGAACCGTCACCATCGATGTGACGCATCCGATAAGCGTGGCTGCCAGCAGGCACGCAGGCACGAGGTACGAGAAGGAAGTCATGTGAGGCAAGCTGAGAAAGGTGCAGCCCAAGAGGATGACACTAATTGTAACTAGAGCGCTTCGCCTAAGGAATCCCGTGTCCGATATCAGTGGCAACAGTATTTGTCCCATCAGTTGAGCAACCGAGAAATACACAACGAGAGATTGCGCTTCCTTCAGAGACGAACCCTTGTCCATGGCATAGTCAACGATGGTTGAAAGAAACGAGGTCTCCGAATAGTTTGTCACTGCCGAGTAAATGACAATCACGTAAAACATGGGCTTTCCAATTGAACTCCATGATTCCCTTATGCCCCAATTTTGCTTTGTTTTAAAGGTACTATCCGAAGTTTCGGTCGATGCCGAGATGGTCTGCGCTTGGCCGGCGTGACTGGCGGGCAGTTTTTCAGAAATGGTGTGACAGTGGGGGAGGTTGGGTTTTTCGGTCATCCAGGATGCTTTCCTTATTAGAAACGCGAAAACAGTGGCATGCATCATGATGGCCCCGCACAAAAGAAGAGCACCTCGAAACTTGTACGCCTCCTTCATAAGCACGAGTATTCGCGCGAAAACCAAGGGGGAAAGGGAATATCCTGATAAATTAATTCCGCAAGCGATTCCCCTGTACTTGTCAAAAAACATAACAACGATGATTCCAAGAGCCACTGTAAGCATTCCCACTCCAATGCCTGAAAATAAAATAAAATAAATTATTATGTTTCATGTTGAAGAATAAATCTAATAATTTAATTTAGGTTCAAGATTAATCTTGAGGTTAGGCAACGCCTTTTTGTTTTTACTTCAATTCAACTTCCCCATATTTCTTATTATTTTTTTTTACTTTGTGGGAAACACTTGACGATTGTTAGGTAGGTGGCACATTAGGGCACAGGGTAAAGGAAACTTTAAGAAAAAACTATTTTATCATTTGTAATTTTTGCATTTTAAACGTATTCTTTTCTTCTTGCACATTTTCCATTGTAGCACTGTTCTTAGAAAGACATATTTCAGGCTCAAAACATTTTTTTCCAAAAGGAAGTAGCGGGTGACACGCCCCCAATGGGATATGCTCCTTGATTATCTATATTTTTCAATAATAAAAATATTAACATCAGATCTAAAAGCATGTTCGGAATGAGCTACATATTACAAAGATATTTGGCAACTACTGTGCAGCTATTTGTTAACAGGGACGATTCCGAGACGCTTTGCCCCTTTTTTTCATGTGTGTACGTTCAAGCGCCTGCGTTTTAGAACAAAATGGCGATATGTAATGTTTTTGTTTTTTTTGTTTCAATGGCGGTCGCATCGTACAAGGCAATATTTTTAAGTCCCGCAGATTGAACCCTGGGTGAAACACCCTCACGTGCCTGAGTGAATTTGAACGCACCCGAATATACTTTGCGGACCGAGCTACACGATAGGTCACAACAGAGGTCCGGCAAGGGAAGTGATAAGCAGAGAGGCGAAGACATCTCCTAAAGAAGGACTACCAAGCTGACAGGTATTGAAAAAATGATTTTTAGGTTGTTGGTGCCAAAGGCACTTTCTTATTCACCAGTTTATATATATGTATATATATATATATATATATATATATATATATATATATATATACATATATATATTGTGTTCACTTTAAGCACAATTATCTCAAAACACTGTTGTCCAGTGCATATAGGTTCCAATATTTCCTGAACCTGCCCTTTTAGAAGGTTTCTTTTTTTATTCCTGCCACCTACAAATGTCTTTAAAAGTGCTATACTAGAAATAAAATAATGCACTCAGCAGTGTTTGAGTTACACATTTGTTTAATACTCTAAAAGAGCTAAAATGTCGCTACTAGAAAATAACTATAAATAATGTAATTTTCAGTGGTTTAAATACTTCCATTCTGGTAGAAAAAACACGAACGTTGGAACAAAATAATATATATATATATATATATATATATATATATATATATATATGCAGGGTGTTTTTTTTAAGCTTAACAGATTTCTTTTAAAAAAGCCGTGAAAGTTACACTTATGCCGCTTGTGGAGGTCAGTTATACGGCCAGGGGTACATATTATAGGGGGCTAATCGTAACGATCAGTCGGCTAATTAATTAAAATTCGTTAATTGACTTTTTCATAATTCAAAATAGACATATGGTTCCAATTAACAACTTGCTCAGCGTCATCGGAAACCACTAAATCAGTCATTTTCAGAAAGACTTTAAGCGCGTGAGAAGAGTAGTAGCGCACTAAAATTACCACTCTTTAAACAGGTACAAAGATAGCGGTTGCGATAAGGCGCCCTGCGCGATTTTTCCGTCTCTTATCTAGCCCCACCCAGCCTTGTACCTGCTCCAGGTGTGGTAATTTTAGTACAACACTACGCTTCTCATGCGCCGAAAGTCTTTCTGAAAATGACTGATTTAGTCGTTTTCGATGACGCTGAGCAAGTTTCGAATTGGAACCGTATGTCTATTTTCATTAATTAAAAAGTTAATTAATGAATTTTATTTAATTAAACGACTGATCGTTACGTTTAGCCGCCTATATTATGTTCCCCTGGCCGTATGACTCACCTCCACAAACGGCATAAGTGTAACTTTTACGGCTTTTATTAAACAAATCTGTTAAGCTTAAAAAAACAACACTGTATATATACACCCAATGTGGTCCAAGTCACCAGGCTCGGTCTAAAATGGACCGTAATAATTGACACCTGCGCGTAGCAATCTCAAATTTTCGTCAAAGGTGTATTTCACAAGTAAGTTTTTTCTTGTAAAATTACAAAGCGTAACTCTTTCTCTAAAAGAAAAAGGCCAAGAAACTTGCCAGGGTCTACGGCGGGTAGCGACGCAGAATTTCGTGATAAACAGACGACGGCAAGGCATTCCTTCTCGGTCGTTGAGTTATTTTGTTCCTCATTCGACTACGTCCGAGTGTCGTAGGTGGTCACACGCTCTGTACCCTCTTGTCGTTGGACCGGTACCGCGCCGAGCCTTGCATTGCTGGCATCAGTGTGAATTTCTCTTTCGGCCGATTAGTTGAAGGGGCTGAGAATAGATGGCGACTACAGTCGTCGCTTTAGCTCACCGAATGCTAGTTGTTGTTCTTTTCCCTATTCAAAGTTCACTGCGCCTTTCGTGAGGTATGTCAGCGGCACAGAAAACATGGCAAAATCCCCAACGAACTGCCTGTAGTGCGCGCAAAGTCCCAGGGATCTTCAGACGGCCGTCTTATTGGTGGGTTATTGGTGGGCGATGGAAGGGCCGCTATGACGCGAGTCTTCTCAGGGTCAGAACGAACACCTTCGTTGCTGACAACGTGGCTTAAGAGCTTCCGTTTGCCGTAGTGGAATCTGCACTTCGTGAGCTTGAGGCACCTCATTTAGGTAATCAGCTCCAGCTGTCCTGATTGCCTGAAGAACGGTCCAAAGGCGTCGCGAATGCTCGTCAAAGTTGGCCGAGAATACCACGACCTCGTTCTAGTAAACGAGAAAGATATTCAAGTTGAGGCCTGCCAGTATCGTGTCCATGAAAGGCTGGAATGTTGCTGGCGGCATGCAGAGTTAGAAGGGTATAGCTTGTACAGTCCATTGGGCGTGAATAAGGCACTCTTCTCTCGGTGTCGTCCGTTGACTTCAATCTGCCAGAAGCCACTCTTCACGTCTATCGACGAGAAGTAGCGGGAGTGGCGCAGCCGGTCCAGTGTTTCGTCGATGCTCTGTGGCGGATAGATGTCTTTCTTTGTCAACGCGTTGAGTCGCCGGTAATCTACGCCGAATCGTGGTGGCCGTCCTTCTTTTCCTCCAGTACAATTGCAGAGGTCCACGGGCTGCTTAAGGGGTAGATGATGTCGTCCTTCAGCATTTCTTGCACTCGTTCGTAGATGACCTCTCTTTCCTTTAGGGAGACCCGGTACAGCAGCCGATGCACCGAGAGCGTATCATCATTGGTAACGTTGTGATATATCGCAACTGTTGTTGGGTGCATTTTAGACGTAGTTGCAAAAACGCCGCTGCATTCGGCGAGGAGGTCCCTGAGCTGTCGTCGTTCCGTGGCATTAAGCTTGGGGTTAACGTCGAGCTGCGGCGGCGGTGTACGGTAGGGATAGGATGGAGAGGATTCATCGCAAATCGCGTCAATTTTGGCGGCGTTCTGAAGTTCCTCGACGTAGCCTGCAGCGGCACCTTTCGTAACGTGCTGTGATTGCTGTCGAAAGTTCGTCACGAGGACCATAGTGTGTCCATCCAGCCGCTCCGTTACGCCCGTTGCGACGCGTATTCCTCCTCTGAGAAGCAGTTTGGCGTTTACTTCTAGTAGAAGTTCCCCGCAAACGACTACATTGGTCACGACTGGCAAAAGAACACTCGACCTCGCCGGCACGTTCACGTGGTCCGAAGTGACTCGGACGTTGACTGACGGCGCTTCGGGTCCCTCCGGAGGTACGGCGGTATTTCGCAGCGTCCACCTGTTCACTCGAAGTTCGGTCACGGCATCGTATTCACACAGGAAGTCCATGACAATGATGACGTCTTTCGATCAGTCATGAAGGACGACGAACGTGACTGGACGGGTCTCCCTTGAAACTCCACACGAGCAGTGCACGTCCCAACAGGCGTGATGAAGTGCCTTACGGCAGTGCGTATTTGCGGGCCGTCCCAGGGCACCATGACTTTCCGAAGCCGGCGAGAGAGCTTCCCACTCAGAACGGTGTAATCTGCTCTGGCCACCAGGGCTACCGACGCGTCGTGGCCGTCGAAGACAACGTTGAGGTTGTTTGTGACCTTTGCAGAATCGTCGTTCTGATGCTTGTCGTCGCTAGAATGGGGGCCCACCGACGTTCTTGGAGGATCTTTACGAAGGTCGTCTTCTGCGAATCCACCTCTAGGGGCAGGTTCGCTCAGTTTTCCCGACGAGAGGCAAGGGGCGACAGGCTTTCACGGCGGGGCCTATGAATCGGCGAAGCTGGACGACGTGGTGGGGGCAACCGGGACCCACGTCGAGGCGCAGGCATCGGAGAGGATGGACGTCGTAGCTAGTCGTCGATATCCCGAGGTCGCATACCGTAGCGTGGATCGGGTTGTCGTAGTAGAAGCATTGTAGACCCAACTATCGGTACGGGCAACGACCGTAAATGTTGTCGGCTTCCCCGCAGTGTTAGTGCAGCGGGCGTCGGCCAGCCGTTCACCACAGATTCGTCTACCTTGGCGCCGCGGGTTGACCTCGGACGTACGGGGCTTTTTCCTCAGTGCGCCCAGCATAATGCGGTGTAGTGGCTTCCCATCCAGGGGGCGCCGGGTGTTTCTACTTGCGGGTTGCTTGCGGTGGTTGTCGGGCCATGGAGGCTTAGTTCAGGGTTGGTTCCTCAGGCGCTGCGACGATCATGGGGGCCTCTGGGGGGAGCGCGTGTTGAAATTCCCCCCGAACTGCTTTGGTAACATAGAACGAAGCGGAGAGTTCGGCAGCCTGCAGCAATATTTTCAACTCCTCCCGGTTGACGTCGCAGATCGTCTCTCTGATGCCCGCTAGGCTGAAACCGACGCCGAGGCTAGAGAGCGCAGGAGCAATGACGACGGACAGTCATTGATAGTGGACGGCACGGGCTTGGAGGGCATTCTCAATGTTCTTTGCCTCCTTTTCAAAATCATCGACGGTACTTCGTGGGTTCCCAGGGATCCTGGGTCCAATCCCCACCCGTCCCCGTTTCGACCTGGATGAGCACCGTGGCGGCGTGCGATCGTGTATCACTACTGCGTGGTTCACGCTAAAGTCGCCACGCCAGTGGTTGTAGTGCACTGGCTACACTTCTCGTCTGCAGCTTGGAGACAAGTCGTCCGTTGAGGCAGACAATGTTCTAGGTTACATGAACATACACACTCCCCAGTTTTCTCGTATAAGGCCACGAAACGTCATCTTTTCGACGTCATGTATAAAGATCTTCAGTTTTTTTTTTTTTGCGGCCTGTGGATTTTTGGGGTTGAATATCGGAAGGACGTCCTCAACAAATCTCACCACGCTTTCGCTTTGTCCTTGAGCTCTCGACTGTATTCACTCTTCGGAGCGTTCCTGAGGTTGCTGGTTTGTGAAGTATCATCTTGAGGATCTCTCAGTTGGTAGGCGAAGCTTCATGGTTTTCGAACCAGCGTCTCGCGGTTTCCTTGAGGGAAAATTAGACTTTGAGAAGACGTTCTTCGTAAGTTTATTGGTTATGCTGCGCCACCCGTTCGTATTACTACAACCAGCCTTCGTCGTCTTCGTAAATGTCGCTCTGGAAGGTCGTGGAAGTTCGAGGGGAGACGAGCAGATAAACACCCGGGGAGGCAGCGGCGGCAGTCTGTGATGATTGGTTGCTCATCGCCGGTTTCGTCGACTGGTGCGTCCTCTCTGGCAGTAGACTAAATTCCGGGGGCGAACTTTGAACACGGCGGATTCCACGGGTCTCGGTAGTCTCCACGGACGGTCTTATTCAGCAGGGGACTGGGCTTGCGCTGCAAGGCCTTTCAGGGGTACGCTTCATGGGCTGCGGTACCCCGCTCATAAACCAGTAATGTCATAAATAGCAGGAGCAAAAGGGGCAAAGATCCTGTTTGAACCTGAAATTTTAATGGGTGGACTTTTGCCAAACAAGGTAAAGAACGATCGTCAAGACAGCAGAGTAGAGGGCGGCGATTAGGAGGTATAAGAGCAAGGGAGAGCGAGACTAACTCAACAAGGTCACGCGCAGCTCCTTATCTAGTGTGAATCGGAATCTCGAAAGTTCAGCCCAGAAGGTTCGAGCGCGAGAATACTGGATGAGATTGAACAGGCACTTTCGAAAACAAGAAAGTAGGACGAAATGATATACGTTACGTCCCGAGTAAGAACAAACACGAATCTTCAGACGTCCGTGACCTAGCGTTGCTTGCTCCGCCAAGCGCGTAGCAATATTTGACAGCACTTTATACAATTTGGCAGGAGACGCAGGAAATCATTTTATTTCTCCTTCGATCCTCAAAAACCGTTATGCAAACTACGGAACATCTCTAGATATCTTAATCTCCTCCTCAGCTTCGCTATTAATTCCGAGCGCTGACGTTACCGATGCAACGTGATGAGATATCTGTAGCAAATCATTTTGCCGGTCACAAGAGACGACCCCTGTGTTACCAAACCTATTTTCAACAATCAGATCATCATTGCTATTTTCGCAGGCAAGGATATAGATTTTCCTTTTACTCAACAAGAACGAAACGCAGTGTTGGCTTCATCTAAGTGATCGTCTCCTCTCGGTCCGGATGGAGGCACTTACATGACACAAAAACACCTTGAATTTGAGGCTCGTGTGAAACTTCTGACGTTCTATAACATCTGGGAAACTGGACAAGTTTTTTTGGCCCGGAAAATGAGTAAAACTGTTCCTCAGCTGAAGCCTGGTAAATCAAACTTCAAATAAAAGGAGAAATAATGATGTATTTTTACACCCCTTGACATATAATACACCTCAAAACTTCAGTTCGACGTACAGCGCACTGACGTTACACCGACCGAACAACTTTCACGAGCAGCTTGACTGCTGAGTTGTGCAACTTAATAAAATACCTAATGATAGGTACTTTTGCTGTTTCATATGTTAGCTTCCAACCGTCATTAAGCGTTCTGTAAAAGCTGGGGTCTTCAATTCGACGTTTGTGCGTCATACGCCGAACTGAAGTTTAGAGACGTCATATGTGAGAAGGGGTGTAATGGCTACACCCTTTTGTTTTATAGTGCACTTAACGTCTCATAAGCCAATCACCCTTTCCAGCATCATTGGCAAAGTAATGGAACGGATGATTCTTGTTCACATGAAATTGTGCTTTGAAAAACGAGGGTGTTCCAGTGTTACCCTGACTGTACATCAGGATTGCGCAAGGGCCGTAGCTCTATAAATAGCGTAATTGGTATTATCAGCTCGATCGGGGCTCATATATATCAAAAGCCTATCAGAGCTGCAGTATTTTTAGATATCATGAGCCCTTTTGAGTCTGTATCTCACACGTCTACATTCAACTCCTTAATAGATTTTGGATTTGGTGGTTGCCTTTATGCATGCACTGCTAGCCACCTTGATAATCGGACGCTATCAATGACAAGGGATGCAGGAAACTCACCAGCATATAAAACGTAATGAGGTGACCCTCAGGGAGGCGTTTTAAGTCCCAAATGTTTTGTCTGTCTCTTAGAGCTCCTACAAATCACAGAACAGTTAGAGCATCATTTTATGCAGGTGAAATCTGCATTTGGTCGTCAAGCATTACTAGGCTTCATGGGCGTGCCAGACTTCAAAGATCTCTAAATTTAATCAATAAGTATCTGTCTGAATGTTGCCTCATTATATCAGAAACAGAATCTGCTGCAATCGGGAACACCGATTCATTTCTTCTCCAGTTTAAAGAAAAATTTAGAAGTGTAGAAAATTGAAGCATGTCAAATTATAAAATATAGAAAATGTCTCGTGTGCATACATTAGTTACAAGAAGATGTAACCACAAAATGGTATTGAAATCGTATGCTTATGACCGGGGACATTTTTATGTCATGTTTGTTTTTAAAGAGTTATGGCTGTAACCAGTAAATGTTATTTCGGGTTACTTTCACGAGCTTAATACTGCTTTCGAATCTATACATTTTCCCCCAGAAACGAAACATGAGGCTTCGTCGAGAAAAACTGACGGAAGTGCAGAAAATAATCTTCAACTACGGAATCGTCCAGGCTAAAACGGCGCGGCTGGTCAGCCTATGTTTGCACCTTGTATAATAAAGATAATCACCGTGAATAACACCGAATGTAACTATCATCCATGGCATGTCCGGTGCAAACGCCGAGGCCATCATGCCAATCCAGGAAAGAGCGCTGGCAGCTTGAGCAATGTGAAAGATGGAGAACCATCGCTGTAGTACCCAGACTGCAATACCTAGAATATGAGCAAAAAGAAATAAAATAAGCTTTACATTAGTTGTTGATATTGTTATATCAGAATGCTGCAATACCTAATTTATGGGGAGTACGAATCCTATAAACCAAAAATCCTTTAGTATTTTATAGGCTTGCCTGCCGTGTTTTCTTCCTTTATTATTCTTCAAATGTTTTCTTTTTTTCTAAGGTTAGTTTTTTGAAGGAGCTTGAGGTGTCGCAGAAAAAGGCCGGGTCGTGTGTTTCATGCTATATTGATTGTGACTTCAACCACACAAGCATTAACGTGCTAATTTATATATACATATATATATATATATATATATATATATATATATATATATATATATATATATATATATATGTGTGTATATATATATATATATATATATATACATATTTAGGGCATGGTCGCGTAGGGTTGGCCGAAGGCGTGGAGTACACAAAGTTGAAAATCCCAAGTCAGTGAAACAAAAATACGGAAGGTTTATTTCAACGTTTCGGCAAGAGTCTTGCCTTCGTCAAGAATGGCGACACAGTTCATGTGTTACGCGCTTGGCGTCACAGTTCATGTGTGACGCAAAACGCGTCACACATGAACTGTGTCGCCATTCCTGACGAAGGCAAGACTCTTGCCGAAACGTTGAAATAAACCTTCCGTGTTTTTGTTTCTCTGACTTGGGATTTTCAACTTTATATATATATATAGTCTTCCTGACGAAGGCCGGACTCCGGCCGAAACGTCGAAGATTAAATCGTCCGTTGTTGCTGTTGTCACCAAGGGTTCTTTTTTTCGTCTTCTGTACCCACGCCTTCGGCCCCTCCGCCACCATGCCCGTTATATATATATATATATATATATATATATATATATATATATATATATATATATATATATCAGTGGTGGGCAGGAATGTTTTATATTTTTACAAGTGTGTGGGCATGGAAATATAGGAATTGAATTTGGTGGGTCTGAAATAAATACACTAAAATATTGTTATAAAAAATATTATTTTCGATGTTTTGGTCTTAGGGCACGCGAAGAACAAAAAAAGCATTCCTAGAATATGATATTTTGTATTTAAACCAGAAAGCGATTGCTACCTTCATCTTGAAGCCCGAATTAAGCTGGAAGCAAATTTACCAAAGAAGCGTCATCTTATACTTGGGAAGTAGTAGTAAGGAAGCAAGCAGTATTTTCACCGTGGCTCGAGCGCGGCTTTATTTCCGCATTTCTCATCTTTGTGAGACAAAACCCCAGGAATATTCGAACCAGTTTTGTGTCCTCCCGAACTACGTCGATGAATCACTATTGTTATGTCCAATGCGGACGCCTCACTCAGCAGTGACCTTATAACGCCAACGTGGATTGAAGTTCAAGTAACCCGTATCCTTTTATCTGTTTCTGGGTCGCGCTGACAGACCCTTAAACTTTTGGAATCGACTGGAATAGTCGACCACAGAAAGTGTTGAAAAACGTTTGCTAACTGTTGCACAATAAAGAAGGGAATCGTGTATTGTCAGAGGCACAAACGTCCCTGAAGTAACTTATTGGACTGGGCCATCTCGGGGGAGGTCAACAATTATTTTGAAAGTGTAACAGGATACATCGGCCCTAATAGTTTCGCGATATCAAGAATACACCGAAGATGTATTTCGATACAGGATCATAAATATATAACGCCTTTCTGAAATACTACCTATCGCGATACTGCTGAACCCTGATATATATACCGTACGTAGGGCGTATATATAGATATATATTGCCGCGCGCCAAGTAGGCAGCGCGGCCGTAGCCTAACGGTTATCGCACTTGCCTCCCACGCGAATGGCCAGGGTTCGATTCCTGGCCGCGGCTACGCATTCTTGTTTACACTGTAATGGGATGTTTTAGTGAATTCGAGAACCGTCCAGCTGATTCGAGGTTAGAATGTTCTACACGTCGAACCTTCTACACCGAATGCTCCAGAAGCCAACGCGTGTACAAAAGCAGCTTCGCCTGGCAAGCAGGAGTCAGTTTCGCCCCAGCGTCCGACTCTGCTGCTACGCCGACTTCGACGCCCGCGACGCTCTGTTATTATCTTTTGAACCCTTTTATTTTTGGCACAAGTTCGCCACATTAAACGTTTATTTCTTCCTTTTTATTTCCTGTTCTTTGGTCACCACCCGTGACATTTTGGTGGAGGTGCGGGGTACCGCATGTCCGTGCAGCGCAGCCCTCCGAGTTCCCGCGGTACACGTCCGACCGCAAGCTCCCGAGGACCCAACGAAGACCAGATCGAGACTCGATCAAGTCGCCAAACCCAAGGGCTACACCCAGAATACGGACTTTTACCACCCAGGACCAGGCAGCTGACGATGGCCAACCAGTCGCAGACCCCCGCCGCTCCTGCCGTCGTCTACCTACCCGTCGCTCCTCGAACACCGGCTCCATTCTACGGCGAGCAGTACGAAGACGTCGAAGACTGGATTGACTAGTATGAACGCGTTGCCCGCCACAATTGCTGGACCGACGAGCAGCGCCTCCACAATGCCTATTTTTCGCTTGAGGGGACCGCCAAGCACTGGTACGAGAATCATGAATCCTCCCTGACGTCGTGGGACATTTTCAAGACCGATCTCAAGGCTACCTTCATCAACCACCACCGCCGAGAGAGAGCCGAGGACCTACTGCGAACCAGAACCCAGGGCCCTAACGAGAGTGTCACCGGCTTCGTAGAGGACGTCCTCCGCCTGAGCGCCCGCGTCGACCCTCGGGCTACAGAAGAGAAGAAGCTACGAATCCTCGTGCGGGGCCTGAGAGAAAACATCTTTGGTGGCCTTGTCCGCAGCCCTCCGACAACTGTCGAAGACTTTGTCACCGAGGCGACGAACATCGAGCGTGCCCTGCAAGCCCGAGCCAGCCACTACCATCAACCACCCGGCCTCGCTGCCCTCGCTCCGTCTAGCTGCGAGCTTTCCTCCAGTATCCCGGGCATCCGCGAGGTCATTCGAGACGTTGTCCGGGAGGAGCTTCGAAAGCTGCTGCCTGCTGCCAACCAGCCAGTTTCGCTGTCGATAGCCTCAGTGGTGCGCGAAGAAGTTCAGCAGACAATTCAACCGGAGGCTCCTGCCAGCGTAGCTGCACCCGAGGAGCCCACCCTGACCTACGCCGCAGTGGCCCGACGGCCACCGCCTCCTCCTCGCACCTATGTTGCGCCGTCCCGACGACAGTCTCCTGCGCCGCAGCACGACCGACGCCGCGACGACCAGTTCCAGTACGCCAGCCAGGAACCCCGTACACCCCGGAAGACCGATGTGTGGCGAACGCCCGACCGACGCCCTCTGTGCTTCCACTGCGGGGAAGCAGACCACACCTACCGCCGATGCCCATACCGACGACTTGGGCTGCGGGGGTTCCACCCGAAAGACCCGCGACCCCGTTATGGTGAACGCCCTCGGGAAATCAACCCGTTCTTCTTTTTTGTGCAGGCGTTCCTTTTGGCCGTTCTTCCGGCAACGTACGACCACAGAGGCTCGTCCGCGCTGGTGGATCTTCTTTTCCGCCCGGAAAGTGCTATTAACGACTGTTGGGAAGACGCGACGGGAACTGCCTTCAGTGACCAAAATTTCATTTTCCCGCCGATGGTGATATCCATCTGCGGCATCCCTTCGTCATCGACAACATTGGCGCTTTCAAGATCCGCCCCCTTCGCTACCGGCGTTAGTGGGCAAGGCGGCACGACAACGATGAGACCACCAACGAACCCGTTCTTCTTTTTTGTGCAGGCGTTCCTTTTGGCCGTTCTTCCGGCAACGTACGACAACAGAGGCGCGTCCGCGCTGGTGGATCTTCTTTTCCGCCCGGAAAGTGCTATTAACGACTGTTGGGAAGACGCGACGGGAACTGCCTTCAGTGACCAAGATTTCATTTTCCCGCCGACGGTGATATCCATCTGCGGCATCCCTTCGTCATCGACAACATTGGCGCTTTCAAGATCCGCCCCCTTCGCTACCGGCGTTAGTGGGCAAGGCGGCACGACAACGTTGAGACCACCAACGAACCCGTTCTTCTTTTTTGTTGCAGGCGTTCCTTTTGGCCGTTCTTCCGGCAACGTACGACAACAGAGGCTCGTCCGCGCTGGTGGATCTTCTTTTCCGCCCGGAAAGTGCTATTAACGACTGTTGGGAAGACGCGAAGGGGAAATGCCTTCAGTGACCAAGATTTCATTTTCCCGCCGACGGTGATATCCATCTGCGGCATCCCTTCGTCATCGACAACATTGGCGCTTTCAAGATCCGCCCCCTTCGCTACCGGCGTTAGTGGGCAAGGCGGCACGACAACGATGAGACCACCAACGAACCCGTTCTTCTTTTTTGTGCAGGCGTTCCTTTTGGCCGTTCTTCCGGCAACGTACGACAACAGAGGCTCGTCCGCGCTGGTGGATCTTCTTTTCCGCCCGGAAAGTGCTATTAACGACTGTTGGGAAGACGCGAAGGGGAAATGCCTTCAGTGACCAAGATTTCATTTTCCCGCCGACGGTGATATCCATCTGCGGCATCCCTTCGTCATCGACAACATTGGCGCTTTCAAGATCCGCCCCCTTCGCTACCGGCGTTAGTGGGCAAGGCGACACGACAACGATGAGACCACCAACGAACCCGTTCTTCTTTTTTGTGCAGGTTTGTAAACCATTTTCTCAGTATAAGCTCCGAGGAGACCCTTACTGTTTGGTAGTGCTGCCTTGCCCGGGCGTTTTGTGTGAATGTGTTGCTGGATGCTTTGATGCGCTTTGTTTACTTGTACTCCTTCTAAGCGGGGATGAGGAGTTGAATCCTGGGCCGCCCATCGAACAACAACTGTCAGCCATAATGACTAGTCAGAAGGCTTTGGCGTCCAGCCTGAAGACAATAGAGCAAAGGCTAGAGGAATCAGCTTTTAGCACAAATCTGAGACTTGTAGCTATTGAGCAAAGGATAGAGACCTTAGCGCTATCTGCCGGGAAGCTCGAGCAATGTGAAGCCACGATTGACAACTTGAAAGGTCAGGTCTCGGCGTTGTCTGATAAAGTTGACGATTTAGAAAATCGTAGCAGTCGCAATAATCTTATTGTCTACGGAACTCAGGAGGAGGTGAATGAAACGGCGGTTTCGATGAGAAAAGCTGTTATTGAGGATCTTTTTGAGGCTCAACTTGGCGTTGCTGTTAACAGCATACGACGGTTGCATCGTCTGGGAAGAAAGATGACTAACCGGTCTCGTCCAGTCATCATAAAGTTTTTCGATTACAATGAGAAAATGAAACTAATGAAAAACGCTTTCAAGCTAAAAGGCACGCGCATTTCTTTGCCCGAGGACTATTCGCGTAAAGTGCAAATGATAAGAAAGCAGCTGTGGCAGACAGTGAGAGATACCCGGACGCCAGATGACAAGGTTTTTCTTCGCTATGACAAGCTGATCGTGAACGATGACGTTTACGCGTGGGATCAGGAAAAATGCACGAGAATCAAAGTTTCCGCGACGCGCAAACAAGGCCCACAATGACCTGCGTGTTTTCAGAAGTGCCAGCTCAAAGTGTTAAATGTTAATGCAAGAAGTTTGGCCAATAAAGTAGAAGTTGAACATATTCTACTGTTGCACTCTCCGGACATTATGGTTATAACGGAGACATGGCTTCACCCTAACATTGATAATTCTGAACTATGCCCACCTGGGTACAATATTGTGAGGAAAGACAGGGCTTCTAGGGGAGGCGGTATAGCAATATTTTTTAAGCAATCTTATCAGCTTACACCCGTTTCTATGTCAATTGATTACGAGGTCTTGTTGTGCAAACTCACTTGTCATAATGTTTCTCTGATGGTCTGCGCAGTTTATAGGCCACCAAATACCCCCGTTAGTATGATTATCGACCTCAATACCTATCTGCTCCAACATGTTAAGTGTTCCACTAATTTTATACTACTTGGTGATTTCAACTTACCATGCATCGACTGGGATACCCTTTCCGCACACAGCCAGGATCGCGCTAATGGGGAAGCCTTAATTGACTTGGCGTTTTCTCTTAACTTGACACAAATAATTAACAGCCCCACTAGGTTTGAGTCGCTACTGGACTTGGTCTTTTTATCTGATAACCTGGGTTCAAAAGAATACAGTTTTGAAGTGGTAGAGGGTATCTCAGATAATGACATGGTACATGTGTCAATTTCTTTACGCCAAACACCTAGATCCCGCACTACAGTAGTTTCAATAGACCCTTTCCGAAATTCAGTGCCATCTGGTGGTTCGTAAATCAGTTTAGATTTTGCCACATCAATGGCGGCAAGGAACTTGTATCGGCACCGTCACTTTCGCAAGCCAACGGCTAGCGAGGAATTGTTCAGTGTGAGTTCTTTCTCGATCAGTTTCAATTCGATGGTGACGAAGAACCTGCATTCAGAACGAAGATCCAACCCACTCAGATGCCTCGAGAAAATTATATACACCAAAGTGCTTTAAAGCCGATTGCGTGCCGCCCACAGATTGACTGAATCTGGGTTATTAGAAATAAACGCTTACGTAGCTCTTGCGTTCCATTCCCACGTCGCGTCGTACTGACCTTCCGAATGTACAGGCCTCGCATCATCCGCTTAGGAGTATCTTCAACGTCTTCCTTTATCAGTCACTAGAAGGCTGCCATTGGTATGGCACAGATGCTGTTCCACAGATGATGATAGTGATCAAAGTGGCCAGACTCAATTTCGGAAAGGGTCTATTCCCGATTTCAACCGACCTGACGATGTTTCTATAATAGATTTTTTGGAGTTGTCTCTTGGCACATTTGAAGAATTGTCTATTGAATGTGGTGCAGACGTTGAGGCGTTATGGTTTAGTTTTAAAAATATAGTGAACAATTGTGTGGTGAAATATGTGCCCTATCGAATGAAAAAGACTCATGTTCATAACCCTTGGATTGATAGAGATATTTTGCATTTGAAGCGTCGAATTGCCCGAGTGAGGAAGAAAACTAATCGAAATAGGACATCATCATGTCGCCAGCTAATCTCCGGTCTAACCTCAAGCCTTAAAAAAAAGATCCGTACAGCGAAAGAAAAGTTTTTCAATGTGACTTTGCGTTCTTTCATCAAAAGCTCGCCACAAAAATTTTGGCGGTACATTTCACCCAGGGGGAAGTCATTTGTACAAAGTAACCTGTCTGCGAATGAGTTCAACGCTTTCTTTAAATCTGTATTTACTGATGACGACGGGCTGACCCATGGTTTTCGTCCTAGTCTAGTTCCTAAAATTGATGACGTAACTATAAGACAGGAAGGAGTTTTCAACTTATTACTAACTAAAGTAGATACAAAGAAAAGTGCGGGCCCTGATATGATAACAAACACATTCCTTAAACGATATGCCGAATGGGTATCGAAGTACTTAGTCATTATGTTCAGAGCTTCTATTGAGCACGCTGCCCTTCCTAGTGATTGGAAAACGGCAAAAGTAATTAAAGTGCACAAAGGCGGCGACTCTAACTTAGCATCTAATTTCAGGCCCATTTCTTTAACAAGTACAACATGCAAATTAAGGGAGCACATCATCTTTACACACATCGCAAGTTATTTGGACAAACACAACCTTATATATAAAAAACAGCACAGCTTCAGAAAATCGCTTTCGACCACAACCCAGCTAATTGAACTAACTCACGACTTGGCGGAAACAATTAACGAGCGGGGACAAACGGATGTGGTATTTTTGGATTTCTCAAAGGCATTTGATAAGGTTTCGCACCCAAAACTAATAGTCAAGCTTTCAAATGTACTAAAAAAACTCTCAAATAACTGACTGGATCATGGCGTACTTAACAAACAGGACCCAATATGTTCATTACAAAAAAGTTGACTCCTCCAAACTTCTTGTCACGTCCGGTGTACCTCAGGGGTCTGTACTTGGTCCCCTTTTGTTTTTAGTCTTCATTAATGACATAGCTGATAACATCGACATTCCCCTGCGTTTGTTTGCTGATGATTGCATAATATATAAAAAAATAGGTGACCTGGATGATAATTATAAGTTACAGAAAGCACTCGACGAAATATTTAAATGGTGTACTCAATGGCAAATGAAACTAAATTATGATAAAACAGCTGTTATGACAGTATCATGTCAAAAAAGACCAATTTTATTCAGTTACAATCTTAGAGGTCAATCATTACAACGGGTAAACGAATTCAAATATCTTGGATTAATATTCAATAACAAGCTAAACTGGAACCTGCACCTGGAAACGACCGTCAACAAAGCAAGAGGTACTCTGTTTGCGCTAAGAAGGAAATTAAAATTTGCCGATCCTGATACTAAGCTCATAGCCTACAAAGCATTCCTAAGACCAATTTTAGAGTATGCCTCATCAGTGTGGTCACCTTACACAAAGGTTGGTATTAACAAACTCGAAAGTATTTAAAAAGCAAGCAGCCCGATTTATATATAATAACTTTAACAGGAATACATCCCCCACTCAGTTACTTGCAAGGGCCCAGCTTCAATCATTGGATAAAAGGGCCGATGTCGAAAGGTTAAAAATTTTATATAACATACTAAATGGCAGCATTCACATTGATAGCACCAGTTCCTTACAGCCAATATTTTCCGGGTCCTCACGATTAAACCACTCTAGATCTTTAAGGCAATACAGGTTTACAAATGACTGTTACCGGTATTCTTTTTTTCCTCGGGCAATTCGCGGCTGGAATAATCTAAGTAATGATATTGTCACCTTAACCTCTGTTCATGCTTTTATAGCGGCTGCGGAACGCTACGATTAACGTGTTTATTTAATGTTCGCTTGGTGTTGCTGTGTGTACTGTGTTTATGTTGGAACCACTCCTACTATAGCTCCTTGACTGGAGCTGGTAGTATCCCTAAATAAAAATAAAAAAAAGTACCTGCGAAGACCTCAGTCCCCCGAGCCTGCGTTCCGCCGAGAGTTCCGGTCGCCTTCGCCACGACGTCCAGCTTCGCCGATGCACCGACCCCGACGTGAAAGCTTGTCGCCCCTCGCTCCACGCCGGGGAAACTAGGCGCGGCAACCCGTGGAGGTGGAGTTGCCGAAGACGACCGACGCCAAGATCCTCCACGAACGTCGGAGGGCCCCCACTCGAACGCTACCAGAGACCGAAACGACGCCCCGGCAGCGGTGTCCAATAACCTAAATGTCGTCATTGACGGGCACGACGCATCAGCACTCGTGGACACCGGAGCAGACTACTCGGTCTTGAGTGGGAGGCTCTCCCGCCGCCTTCGAAAAATCACCACGCCGTGGGATGGACCACAAATACGAACCGCCGGAGGGCACCTCATCACACCAGTCGGGAGATGCACTGCTCGCGTCGAGATCCACGGTGAGACGTGCCCTGTGAAGTTCGTCGTTCTGCAAGACTGTTCAAGGGATGTTATCCTCGGAATGGACTTTCTCTGCGAGTATGGCGCCGTCATCGACCTCGGGGCAAACCAGCTGACGCTGCAAAAGCCTGTTTTACCGCCGGTGGAGGCCAACACGACGTCAACCACAATCCGAGTTATCGCCGACCATGTGAACATACCGCCGCGGTCGAGTGTTTTCGTCACCGTTATAACGGACGCAGCCATACACGGTGAAGCTCTTCTGGAAGGCAGCGTCCAACTACTCCTTGAGAAAGGAATTGGCGCCGCACGATGCGTAATGGATCTCCAAGAAGGACGTACGACTGTTCTTGTGACAAACTTCCAAGAGGAGCCGCAGCACCTAACGAAGGGTACCTCTGTGGGCCACATTGAGGAGCTTCAGGCGCCAGTCGTGGTCACCGCAATCTCCGAAGAAACCTCGTCGCAGAGCAGCACGCCGCCGCCGCCGATCGACATTGACCCCGAGCTCCCAGCTCCTAAGCGCCGACAACTGGTTGATCTCCTCGCTGAATACCGTGACTGTTTTGCCACGTCGTCAAAAGTTCGCCAAACACCAATGGCGAAACATCGCGTTATTACCGACGACGACGCGCTCCCCGTCCACCAGTCGCCGTATCGAGTCTCCTTAAAGGAAAGGAAGATGATTCAGGATCAGGTCCAAGAAATGCTCGACGACGACATCATTCAGCCCTCAAGAAGTCCATGCGTCCCCAGTCGTCCTTGTAAAAAAGAAGGACGGAACCCTGCGGTTCTGTGTGGACTATCGTCGGCTGAACGCTGTGACGAAGAAGGACGTCTATCCGCCCCCCCGCATCGACGATACGTTAGACCGACTGCGCCACTCCCGATATTTTTCGTCGATGGATCTGAAGAGTGGCTACTGGCAGATTGAAGTCGACGAACGCGACCGGGAGAAAACTGCCTTCGTCACTCCCGACGGACTGTACGAATTCAAAGTGATGCCGTTCGCGCTTTGTACCGCGCCAGCCACCTTCCAGCGTGTCATGGAGACCGTGCTGGCAGGTCTGAAATGGCAGAGCTGCCTCGTCTACCTCGACGGCGTCGTGGTATTTTCACGAGACTTCGACGAGCACCTGAAATGACTTCGAGCCGTGCTTCAAGCCATTAAGACCGCCGGCCTGTCACTCAAGCCAACAAAGTGTCGATTCGCCTATGGTGAACCTAGGTTCCTTGGCCACGTCGTGAGCAACAGAGGTGTTCTCCCTGACCATGAGAAGACCCGCGCCGTGGCTGCATTTACGCCGCCGTCTGACAAGAAGGCCGTGAGAAGATTCCTCGGATTTGTGCCTACTACAGACGATTTGTTCGGGACTTCGCCAAGCTGTCCGCACCGCTGACGCACCTCACGAAGGATGCCGTAAAGTTCGAATGGACAGACGAACACCAGCGGTCATTCGATAAGCTGAAACGAAGACTCCAGACGCCCCCGATTCTTGGCCATTTCGACCAGTTCGCTTATACAGAGATTCACACAGACGCCAGTA